CTTGTACAACTGCTAGAACAAGAAGGGTAAGCATAAGCAGGAACGATCAGTTTGCCAGTCTTGGTCTGAATACCATGACCCGGTCCGACAGCAAATGTTGCCCAATTCTTTATTTCAGGAAGTGTCTCAGTCAGATCAATGGGGTGGCTCCAGGATTCGCCGCCATCCTTGGTGGTGATGTAGTACAGACGGGTCTCGTTGATGCCCCAAAATATCTGATGTCTTTCTGAAGTGGTTCCTTTAACCCCGATGAAAAACAGGTAAATTGTGTTTCTTTCCTTTGCGTAGATCGGGCACGGGTTCATAGGGCGGTGTCCACCGAGATCTTCCTTCTTCACGACTTCTTTAGAATCTGACCACTTAAACAGGAACAATTAAAGTAAATGTCAACACTTAACAATTTGATTGAACTTATGTATTTTTTTTTGTTTGTTTTTGCAACAGTGATGCAAAAAAACATGGATCACTAAAAAAATTGAAGAATAAATGCTAATATTTACCTCAACTTCCACAGAGTTGCCAGCTTTGGTCAGTTTTCCTGTCTTCATGACAAGAGACTCGCTGCTGGAATCGTCTTTAGATTTTCGTTTCTCTGCAAAGGCCAACAGAGTTTCATTCCCAACAAATATGAGAGCAGGGATCCTGAAGATTTTTTCCTTGGAGAGAAAAACGGTTGTTTTCTCTTTCTGGGTTTCTATTGGAGTTGAATTGCTGCAGCCCATAGCTTAAAGTCTCGAGTGCAACGTATTACAAAGAAAGTGAGTCTGGCTCCTCTTGTCCAGTGATTGCCTCCTTTATAATCATTGACAGCAGAGTCTGAGGTGGGAGGAAACTTCCTATGTTATTCTTCTCTTCAAGGTAGCTTGGATTTGTCAGAGGATTAGGAAAATGATTTAGATGAAGGATGTTTTACTACACCTTCTCTGATGAAATAATCTCATCATACATATGAAGGAACATCTTTTTTTAACTGTCCTGTTTACCTGTAAGATAATACTGACAATACTTTGTATAAAGTTTTTCTTAAATGAGGAAGTGTCACAGCTGAAGAACTAAACGTGAACTACACAAAGTCATCTTTCTATAGCAGGGGTGTCAAACTCCAGTCCTCCAGGGCTGCTGTCCTGCAGTTTTTAGATGTGCCACAGGTACAAAACACTGGAATGAAATGGCTTAATTACCTCCTCCTTGTATAGATCAGTTCTCCAGAGTCCTGCTAATGACCTAATTATTCTATTCAAGTGTGGTGCAGCAGAGGCACATCTAAAAGTTGCAGGACAGCGGCCCGTGAGGACTGGAGTTTGACACCTGTGTTCTATAGTATTAAACTTTGTTACTTGCTGTAACTTTCTCAAATATTTTCTAACAATCTCTGAGAAGACGTCGTTCAGTTATCTTCATCTGTTCTCCTCCTTATCCGCTGTTGATCTTGGCAACATGCAGGGAGTTTACAAGTTTATACAGATTGTAGATGACTAAAAATCCACACAGATTTTTTCTTTCATTAGCTCCACATATATATAAATGCATTGTATATAAATGCAACAATTTAGTTACCTCTCTGCAAAGCACGCAATGATTGCTTTCAGCTATATTTCTTTCTTTTTTCTAAAGAATTTGTGTAATAACCCTACCCACAGTTATTACACAAGAAACAAATGAGAGACAAAAAAAAGAGGAAATGCAGGATGGGTCCTGAAGTTAGAATTTGAACATGATCCACCCCTGTGGAGCCAGCTTTTGCTTTTAGTTTAGTCTGTGTGGCAGACTAAACTAAAAGGTTTTTTTTTTTGGGTTCGGGTGTGGCCGTCAGGCGTGCCTGGCTGGCTGGCGTCTTACAACGCCATGGTGGTCGGTAGTGATGGGTAGATGAGGCGTCATGTTTCATTTCGACACATAGCAAAACTGTGTCGATTCTGTGTTGATACTGTGTCACTCAATACTGACACCTGCTGGACATTAAAAATTCCTACAGGCAACGTAGTGAGATTTAAGTCTTCGTATTATATTGAATATTATATATTGTATGTCATATCTTCAGTTAAATTTAAAATGTATTTGATATACAGTCAATAAAAATGTGAACATGT